GTTTTAAATTCTTAAAACTCAATTTTTATTCGTTCGCGTTGAAATGACTGTCGATAACTCGAGCTTGTATTGTCCCCTGCATGCATTTCAGATAAGTTAATGAAAACGAAAATTATGAGCACTCGAAAAAAGTAATGAAAAAAGTATTCGAGTAGGATGTTAAATTAATTTTCAAAATATTCTTTAAAATACTGCGCATACGATCAGGCAAAAACCATTTTATAATATCGTGAGTGAAAAAAAATACACGCCATGTTATATTATCACGATATACAGCTACTCCACAAACTCGAACTTCACGGGGTAAATACATTTTAATGCGTAATAATTTTAAATAATATTTAAAACGTAATGTGATAATTCGAAATTACTCGAAGCTGGATGAGGGGTTGGAGAATTCGAGTCAATAACAATTTCAAAACATCACTAACCAATTATACAAATGTTACAGCATTATACAGGTATTATAATAATGTGCAAATAGACAATTACACATATTATATGGATATTCATCGATCGGACAGATGGTGCTGTACCTAGATGAAGGGTCGGGGACTTGCGATTATTGTATAATCTTAATCGTCAAACGTATCATACGATTTAACTAGTGTCGGAAAATTTTCGCGATCTACTCGCGTAGTGGACATGGTAGACGTTAACATTTTACAAAACAGTTAATACGAATAAAGGCGTTCAATGCATTTCGTTGTCAACAAAATAATAGATTTTTACGATCGTACTATTTCAGATTATCGACGAATGTTAATAATTTTGAAATATAATATAATATTATGATATCGACAATATATCGGTGCGCAAACGATACGTTTTCTTCTGTATCGTCGGCGCTCGAGACCAACTATTTTTTTTTTTTTTTTTTGTGGGGGGGGGGAGGAGGAGGCAGCGGATACGTGTTTCTGTACAGTTTTAATTATATAATCTATAGCCACGTCGACTTACAAGTCTCTCTTGGACCGCTGTTCCCAAAACTTGTCCCAGAACGACGACCGGTGCTTGATGCGCAACACGCTCGTGCTGAGCGTCCGCGGCAGCTTGCCGGGCTGCGCGCCGGGCGACCGCCCGCCGACCACGGCGGACGCGACGCGGCCCGCTGGCGGCGTCGCATGGCGGACACGGACGCGAGCCGCTGATGCCCAGCGCGCCGAACTGAAGACGGTGCCGCCGGGTGACGACCGCCGCCTAGGGCCGTCCGCGGACGCCGGTGGCGACGAGATGGTCGGCGATTCCATGGCCGTCGCTGACGACGACGCCGCCGGCGGCCACGGTTAGCGACCGGCGGCGGTGGTGCGTGACGGGTCGGTGGGCCGTGTCCCAAGGCCGCGTCGGGACGACGGCGACGACGGGACGACGACGGTGACGACATGGCCTGCCGGAGGCGCGGCCACCATGCGACTTGCGTACCGCCGTCGACGCGAGGAGCTCGCGCTCGTGCTGATGCTCTATCCGCGCGGCGGCTCGTTACGCGAGCTGCAAACGGTATATATTATTATACGTTATTATTGTAACGCGTGCGATGCGTGTGCGGTGGACGGCGGTGGAGGTGGCGGTGGCGGAACGATCGCACGGACGGTGACGCGCGCGACGACGGACGTGACGGCCGACCAACTGCCGGTGTGCATTTGGCCGTGGTAGCCGCCGTCGCCGCGCGGCCCGACGTCAACAGACCCCGGAATGAGCGGGCGCGCGCGGTTTCGCGGTGTTGCCTCCGTCGTGATGATAAATACCGC